CCTGATCTCAGACTGGCACCGAACACACCTGCCCCCAACATCTGCCTTGCATGGGTACAGGAGGTGGTTGTTACCTAAAATTTAGACAGCAGTTTGAAGGTTCAAAATACCTTTCACAAATGCACAGTTTTAGTAACTGCAGTCTTAGTTTTCTTTACATCTGGTCTGCCTGTAGATGGATAATGGTAACACAAAGAATATGAGAAGAACATTAAAAAATAGGAAAATTAATAGTAGTTTGCTTTTTAAGTTGTTTGATCTTCAATACAAGTGTGCAAAAACTGACCTTACTAATGCATAGAACTGCATTTGTTCACATACATAAAATATTAAACTTACAAAAAGGCTTATTTATTTAGTATGAAACCTAATACTCCTCTTCATTAAATTACCAGCATTTAACTCTAAGTAGACAGATGCATTTGGATTTAACTTCACATTCTTGGAGAACAGCACTGAAAACAATACAGGGAGGATCCTAATTGCAGCTGCTCACATTTGTTTAGATTTCACAAAACAATAATGCATTATGCAGTAATAACTGTATGGAAAAACACAGAAACAACACCAGTTCCTTTAAATGTGTAGGTGTGTTTGTAATGATTATATGATTTTGCTTGATTAATATTTTATAAAGAATAATACTGAAATGTGCTGCAAGTAGTAGAGACATGTTTACATTTTGAATAGCTTGGGCAGTAAATCAACATGAAAAATCAGTAAGTAGCTTATTAGTCATGATACTAGACGTGTTAAGTTAGCCCAAAAGGTACTGTCAATGATGGGCATGACTGGGAAGGCATTAAAACAGGAATCATAGTTATGTGAGACCTAATGTAACTCACGATGGTCGTGTTTGCTTTCCTGAGGCTTAAAAATTCATTTGGCTGAATATTTGAATCTGTTAGAAAAATTCAATTTGTGGAGATCAAGCAGTGATGTTTAAGTTAATAGAAACCCACCCATGCAACCACAAGTGGGATTTGTCTCTGGAGTAAGACACCAAGAACCATTTGTAAAATGAATCACTTTTTTACATCATGCCTTTCACAGGATTTTATGTGCCTGAACTCACCTACAGACTAAACACAGGAGACACTGTAGTCACCAGTGAAGTGATGAGACAGGGATGGGGAGGCTGCTGAAGTGGCAGAGCGAGCCAAAATGCAACACTGTGGGAATGTGGAATGGGAAGGGAGGCATGCTAGCCCAAAGCACTGTCCCGATTTAAGTGCTCAGGTGAATCTTAGGTCTTTCATCCATTAGCAGCGCTAAGCCACAGGCCGAGCAGGACAAGACAGTCATTACTGTGGTAATTTTATAAAAGGCTGAACTAAAATACTTAGAAGTTAAGTCCCATGTCCTTTCAGATGCAACACCTAGAGCTTCATGTCTGGCAGTGAACTGACCCAGACTGCACCAGCGGTCACCTCCAGCTCAGAGATGTGTGAAGGACATTCAGAGTTTATATAGCTTTTTTAACAACTATGCTGGAGTTCACTTTGCCCACTATAAGTTTTTTACTGGAGATTTCCATGCTTGTCTTTCTCATCTCCATCTTATTTATTCTAGCTTTGCTGACTGATGGGGAAGTTATGCCTCTTGCTTGATGTGGCCCAAGGAAATAAATCGTTAGACAAGATATATCGGCATTGGTATTAATTAACCCGGCTAACTTTGTTTACAGACTGCGGGTTGAACGTACACAAGCAGTGCTCCAAATACGTGCCCAACGACTGCCAACCAGACCTCAAGAGGATAAAGCGAGTCTACTGCTGCGATCTCACCACGCTAGTGAAAGCCCACAATACCCAGAGGCCGATGGTTGTGGATTCATGCATTCGAGAGATTGAAGCAAGAGGTTTGTGTGCTTAGGAAAGCAGCAGACACAATTAAATGAAGACAACTTGAATTATGTGCTAGGCTAGGACAGGGTAGTATGCTTATGCACACTGAAGACAGGATTAGAGAAGGGTTTTTTTAGTGTAGATGATACATTGCTTTGCATTAGCTAGTAAAATTAAATCATGGCATTTCATAATGCATTTTCCTGAAATGCTTCATGAAAACATGTCAAAACATGTATTACATTACACTTCTGAAAGGGATGAACTTTAAAGTGAACTTTAAGTTCATATTTATGTGTCTTTTTTCATTATTTCCTTTTAACATACCTAGGGACACTTCCAATTTCAGAGTAATCTGTTTAAATCAAATCCCTTATTAATAATGTTTCCAGACATTATGGGGAAGAGAACACAAGTGAGTGGAAGTGACTCAGACAAGTGAGGTCACAGGCTGTGGCGTTTTGTGGTATGTCACAAACTGTGTAGGGTTTTGCATGAAGTTGTAGATGCCCCATCCCTGTAAGTGTTCAAGGCCAGGTTGGATGAGGCTTTGGGCAACCTGGTGTAGTGGAGGGTGTCCCTGCCCATGGCAGGGGGCTTGGAACTAGATGATCTTTGAGGTCCCTTCCAACCCAAACCATTCTATGATTCTATGATGCTCATCTACTGACTGATAGATACTGTGGCTCAGGCAGCGTGTCACAGCCAAAACTCCAGCTCGATAGGTTTTTGGTATGCAGATGCATGCCAGATTGAAGAAATACCATATCCCCTCCAACCCAACACAGTACTGATCATGTATTTTTGCTTAGCATAGCAAATGTGTATGTTGTGCTGCCCAGTAAGCCAAATTTCCCTGTTAGTCATAGCTTCAGCACAGGAATCTCATAATGTTGAATTTGTGGCATCTCAGTAATCTGCATGGCAACACACTGATACTAGCCGTAGGGATTTCAAAGCCACGCATCATCTACTGAAATGAATCAAAGATTTACAAGTAAATCCTCTGCACTGCTCCGTAAATCTCTGCCAGGATTATATCATCATTGCAGGGACAAACAGAAAGAATAGTTTGGACTAAGACAGAAGAGCTTTACTCCGATGATATAGCAGGAAGCTACACTGCATTTGAGATCTAATCACTTACTTGTACATTTATTGATTAAGATAAAATCTGCTGCCAGCTCTCTGCTTTTCAAACATCTTTAAATTTCTTCCTCTAATTGCTGTAGAACTATGTAAGATACTGATTTCATTCTTAAGAAAACAAGGTGTATTGGATCTTACAAGTAGGTTAGCACTGTGCATAGTCACAATAAGGAGCTCTGGGATGAAAATAAATAATGTGGCTGTAACTCTGCTTGGCTAGCACTGCCTGCTCTGCTGGGCTGGCCTGTGTTTCATGTTGGTGTGGAGTGATGGAGGGAGAGTCCTGCAAGTGAACAGGTCTCTTGTGGTGAAAGAACTGTATAAGGGATGTACTGATGTGGCGAAGAAACGTATCCATCACATGTATCATCTGTGTATAAGTAAAAGATGAGAGCAAAACTGGGAACAAATGTGCTTGTAGGGACAGGCAGTCCCTTACTTGCATTGTTATTTATCATCAAGCAACTAATAAAAGGAAAGGAGACCTCTAAAGCTTTATTAATTATAGCCAAATCCAGGAAAATCTCCCGCATAAAATGAATAAATCATTTTAACATCACATGCTGCACCATTAGCGAATTGCAATATTTTCCTCTAACATAATCAACTGTGTACCTAACGAAATCAGAAAGTATAAATTCTAAAATTCTTTAATACTTTAAAAAACAACTTAAAATTACTTTGATCCTTCCTTAAATGCTCCAGAGTTTCATATTCTAATTAATATTTTGCTGCACTCACTAGATCTGTTGTTCTTGCTTTATTGTTTTTAAGACGGAATATTTGTTGGTTACTGAAGCAAAGTTAACCAAGAACTTTTTGTTTCAGGTTTAAAGTCCGAGGGCCTCTATAGAGTCTCAGGCTTCACCGAGCACATCGAAGATGTGAAAATGGCCTTTGATCGAGGTACACCATTTTTTAATCTTGTACAATTTTAATCTAAAGTTTCAGTTCTAGGGCTTCTCAGTTCTGCTTGTGTTTATGTAGCTACTGTGGAAATGAAACTGGCATATAAGCAGAAGTACAGAAAGCAACTAGTCTTTTCTGAGTTCTCAAATTAGTCTGTAGAGCTTTTCATAAGAAGAAATCACATTTCATAGTTGAAAGGAATAGTTAATAGTAACTAATGGCAGGCAGAAGGCTAAGTGGGGACTTATGATGCTTAACTTATGATGCAGGACTTATGATGGGGGACTGGATGATTGCTTAACCAAGCAGCACAGCCTAGGATCCTAGTTCAAGTACGAACCTAGCTAGTACCAGGGGAAAGCCCTTAGTCCTATCTTTAGTAGACTCAGTGTTTTACAATATGATAATCTGTTTATGAGTTTAAGAACCAGGAACTCCCAACGGGAAAGTCACACTGCATGTAGCCTTGGAGAAAGCACCACACCACTGTGCACGTGATTGCATCTGCACAACAGACGAGAGGAGCATTGGGGAGATTGGTTGTACTGCATATTGAAAAACTAATAATTAAACACTGCCTGTTAATCATGATTACCATCCTAGTAGCCCTTCTGAATTGATTTAGCCGATTACCTTGGTTCTAGTTGTGCACACAGTCTTTGTACTCAGGAATAATTTTAAGTATATATGTTAGTGGGTGCAGAGAAGTGCTTTCATCAACAGAAAAAACATTTTCAAGTACGTTGAAAAAGTTACGTAAACATTCTTCTCCTTTCCCATAAATAGTGTTTTCCTTCCTACTTGATTTTTTCAGGTATTACCTCTGCTATGTTAGGGAATAGGGTCAGACACCCATGGGGCAAGGCAGGTCCAGGTCAAGCCAGGAAGTCAGCCTGTGGGTCCAGGTACCGACCAGAAGGGTGCATGGCCAGGCACAGGCGTGGCCATGATCCAGCTTGAGGCAGCTACAATATCGCTCAGGCAGGGACTGGGGTCCCACAGGAAGGCGATTTAGGAGCTCATGGGGAGGCTAGACTGGGCTAGCAAGGTCTATGAGTGGCATGTCTTACACTTACTGTGCCTGAACACTTTGTTATTTGGAGACAGTCTGTCACACAGACGTCACTGGCAAAGAAAGTCCAACTAGGAATTTCCAAAGTGGCTGTTTTCTTGCTATACCAAAATATCCCTTTAAAAATAACACATCTTTTGAAATGCATTGGATGCTGCAGTTGTGAACATCGGCATGTACACACGTAGGTCAGCTGTGATTTGGGTGAAAGCAATGCGCAGTGATACGACGGCTATCGCAGGAAGATACACGTTGCAGGTGTGCCACATGAAGCAGTGCTACTGAGAGGGCCACAGTCCCCACAGCTCCCACTCTGCTTCCTGCAGGCAGATCTGGCCTGGCAAATCCTTTTGTTCTGTGTGTTAACTCTCCTCTAAGTGTACCAACCTGAAGGAAACCCAGAAGGAGAAGCACAGGTTGAAGAGGAAAGAGTTTGAAGAAAGCAGATGGCAATTTATGTCTGAGGATGGCTTGAATACTGCTGCAGCTGTAGTTCCTTTGCAAATGCTTCGAACCATTGAAGCCAGTTCAGTTTTACAGACAGCGTATCTTTTATTATTGCCTATACTCATGGCATAATCTGGAGGCAATACACAATTGAATTAGACCCACAGCAAGAAAGGAAGTGTAATTTACTGGCAAAGAAGGCAGCACCTAGGAATAGGAAGAGTAAAGTCACTAGCAGTATTGGGTTTTCAAAGGAAAAAAAAAAGCATGGATAACCATGGAATCGGAGAAAGCAAGAATCAAGTCTGTATACACAGGCTGTGACAAAAAACACTGGGCATAAATTGATAAAAAGCTGTGTCTTCATCTTCTTTTAACAATCTTGTGAGGAAAAGGGGATAAGAAAGGAATGAGAGAGTGTTGCCATGAATAATGCTAAAAGCAGTGGAACAGTGAAAAAGTTATGACAACTGCATGACTAGAGTATTGCTGAGGCCAGAAGCTGAGAACTTCACTGTACAGTTTTGAAAATGTTTTCTCCCTGAACTGAGATGGAGAAGCAGGAGTTGAGGGTTTTTTTTGCAGGAAAGGATTTAAAGAGAACAAAAATACTTGGGTTTTTTTTGTTCTGACTTGTGGGTTGTGCAGCTAGAAGGCGGTTGTCAGCTGGCAGAAAGTTGAATTGGCAAGACGCTTCCAACCTGACAGCTCAGGGCTTGCTTCCCTGTCAGATCCAAGTTTACAGAGAGAGGGACCCAACCCTCTCATCTGCATCCCAGCCCCGCAGGTAGGAACATTGCTTTTCTGCTGCCCAGTTGCCCCTCTTTAGCCCTAGACATCAGAGCAGCAGGGAGTGGACTATCCCAAGCATGTGGAATATCTCAGATCTTTGTCCCAGGTGACAGAGCTGGGAGAGGGAGCTGAGAGCCAGGTGGCAGGTCTTGCCTCCAGCAACGCCTGAAAGGTTTTTGTTCAAATTTCATTTTCTGCTCAGAAAGTGAAGTTTGTGGGAGTTTTACAGAACTGTTGTTGCCACGTTCACTATAGGAAATTAACATATTTTTTTTTCCAAAGTTAAAAAAAAAAGGAAAATTTGTATCTGAAATATAAAATGGAAAATTCCTGATCAGTTCTAGTTAACAGACAGGTGTTGCAGCAGAAGCAGCCATATCTGTGGCCACGTCACTATCTCAGACATCTCTGGAGCATGCTGCATAGCAGAAAATAAATGTGTTTTAAAACACCTTGGGATAGCTAGCTGACAAAGGAGAAGGTGAGAGCAGGGGTATGAACCAGAGAAGAGAACTATCTAATCTAATGGATAATCCTAGCACAATGCTAGACGATATACACTGGCCAGGAATAAATGTAGTCTGACAGTTTAAAGACCATTTTAAACCTCCTGGAAGCAAGGTTCTGAAACAACTTTTTAATAAGAGCAAAGATAAAAACCTTAACTAGTTTTAAAATGGAAGTTGAGGGGTTTATGAGAAGGGTTATAGAGCATGGTGTCTGCAGTAGCAGCGCGTTGCACTCTGCCATTACAGCGGTCCCTCCCTGCCCATCGTTACCAAGTCAGTCCCCAGGCACCTGGCTAGAATGCCAGGATGCTTTTGCATCTCTGGAAATACAGCTTAATAAATGGATTTGAAAATAAACAAGGGAGGAGTCCTCCCATTTAATGCGCAGGACGCATCCTTCAAATAACGCCATCCAGCTTTCTGGTTTCCCAAGCTCTTCATCAAGCCACAGGAGCCAGAAGACAGTATGATACAGGGATGAGGTGCAGAGGCTGACCTGGCCGTAGGGTACCTCTCCTGCTGATTTCATGTGCAGCTGAAGGCACACAATGAAGAGAAGCCAGCCTTCCCTCTGATTAATTCTGCTTTGCCAAAGGGACAGTCATTTGTTCCTTCCAAAGAATTATAGCGAGAACAGAAAAGCAAAGGCAGGTTTGAAAGTTAACTTCTTGGGAAGAGAATGGCATCTACCATGATATTATTTGGGCCCAATGAAGCTGTGATAGTTGGTTTTAAAACAGGGCTAAGTTGGTCCTCATCTGATTTAAACTAAGACTCCTTTCAAAAAGCCAAAGCAGTGTAAATACCCCTACTGTAAATTAGCATTAGGCTTTCTGAGGCACTGACAATGTTCCATTTTAGTGATTTTTGTAATGAGAAGGAGGGGAATAATGTGGATTTATTTAATCTGGTGAATGTTGGTGCTGTAGAATGACAGTTGCTCTCTGTCAGCATTGTTGAGCTGTGGCGTTGTGGCATCCAGAAAACCCTCATTGTGCGCTTTACCCACAGAGCTGCGATTGTCAGCAGTGCATTCTGTCCCCTCCCTTGTTTGTATGACTGGCTGGTACAATACACTTGCTAAAAATATTATGCTGTTAAATATTACATGAGTACTTAGAGACATCCTAATTCATATTCACTCTTTTGCCAGTGTAGGTGAAAGCCTGTCAAATGCCAAATCCAAGAAAAACCACAAAGAAGCACATCAGCATGGCAAAGGTTGTGCAATAAAAACAAAGCATTAAGGAAAAAGTAACTTTTAAGTAGAAATGTAATTCAGTATTCAGAGGGCATAGCTGAGGCTTTAAGAATGTAATACTTACTCCATTTCATTCTCCAATAAACTATCGATAGATTTCTATGGCATCCAAAGTCAGCTGAAACCTTTAAGGAACAGAATAAAGACTTTCTTTGTCCTGAGATATTCAAACTTCAACATAATGAGACAAAATATGTTGAGAGTCAAAGTGACAAGGAAAGAGAAATGATGGGGTTTGGGTAGGGTTAGGTTTGTAAAGCTGAAATGAATTATACGTTTGTAATCCAAAATTTTTTTAAAAAAGATCGTATTAACATATGGCCACTGCAACGATACTGAAAATACTAATTACCATCTAAGGAAAGTTACTGTATTGAAGAGTGAAGAAAATGATTGTGGCAATGCAGAAGGTACCATATAAAATAGATGTGGTTCGTACAGTAAGCTACTACAGAGGATCCTCTGTAAACTATGTGTCACGACTTTACCAGCAATTAATTAACTTTTCTTTCCTAGTGCTTTGAATTTTAAGTGTGTTTAAATTAAAATAGAAATCGAGGAATTTGGTGAGGATGAGAAATAAGTGCAGCCTGCCAAGGGCCTTAAATTGCTGAAACTGAAAGGGAAAAGAAAAAAAAAAAGAATCCAAAATCTATCAAAGGAAAATAAAAATCCACCTTCTGTTACATACCCACTGCAGAAATGTGTAGGTATATCACAACGGATGTATTGTTACACTCACTTTAAAATAATCTTCAGTGCGTTTCCAATGGGTGTACATTTGTCTCTGAAGCGAAGAGAAAAATCTTTGACTTGGGAATTAATGCATTTTTCCTGCAGTAAGTGAATAGGTAAATAAGAGGTATGTTTGAAGTACAATGTAGTTTGAAGTGCTTCTAGCTGAAGTGCCCCTTTAAGGAAGCTTGCTGGGCTGCTTTGTAGAAGTACTAAATAAATAACAGTTCCATTTAGTGTACTGGTGACCTGGATAATAGATGCAACCTTCTGCTTTGCTATATCTGTTCTCATGCAGCTGCTGGCTCCTTGGAGGTATCTGTTTTCAGTGGAGCGTTTTGAGTGCTCAGTGTCCATCAATTAAATAGAGCTCTCCACACAAAGCTTTACAAGACTAATGCTACCGTGCCTGGAACGTGTGGATTAAACAAAAGATTGGGGCAGTGTAAACATCCTCCTAGGGCTTATTGATGCTGTATTAAATTAAATGCTGATGGATGTATTCAGACTGCTCAGCTGCATCAAGAAAGGCTGCTTGTTTTAAACACTTAAGCATATAATCTCCTCTTGATGAGAACATGTAGTGCTATTAGTCGTAATGAGAATTATGTGCATACATTGGACAGGACGTATCACTTCAAGATTAATGCCATAGGTTTGTATAAAATGTCTATAATTAATATAAACTCTTTTACTCTGCCGCGAAAGCCTTTATCACCATCACAGATGCCGTGTATCAAGCACACCCACTGATCTGTCTGTATCAGGGCATGTCTACAAGCACTAGTTCTTGCGAGACAAGCAAGGCGATGGCTTTACAGCATGTCAGCACCTCGGTGGTAACAGCCCAAGCTTGTGCTTGCACCTCCTGGCAGATACAAGCAAACTCCTCTCCATTGTTGAGGCAAGCATAACCTCACATGGCCCTGCTCACCGTATGGTCCTCACCTTCACCACCTCCTGCGAGGGCAGCACCATTATCCTCACTTGAAAGGTGGGGAATAAGGACTATGGGGTAAAACTGACCTCAAAGAAGCCTGAGGTAAAGCTGTGGATTAGATCCAGACAGCCTCTGCCCCTACTTGAACCAGTGTCCTACCCTGTCTTTCTACTGGTAGACCGCCAAGGACAGGCCTCAGGAGGGGAGGACAGGAAAATTTCTCAGTCTGGAGAAAAATGTAGGTATGAGGGTACTAGGTAGTATGGAACAGATGTAGTCATCTGAACTTGAAAAATAATAGTGATCCAGCCTCACTGCGTGTTCTTGTAATTTCACTCATTGCAAGCCATGAGTTAGTCAAGGGCTTACCAGCAACACTTCTGATTAAAAGTGCTCCGTAATGGAGTTCTGACTAACTGTGTTATAATATGTGGCAAACAAAATGAATGGCATTTCAATTGCATAATTCATCTATTTAGCTGTTCATCCATTACAAGTATCCATATTCATTTAACAAATTGCGATCCACATTTCAGAATAAATTGTATAACTAAATGCCATAGCATGTCTATTTAAATTCAAATCTTTGCTATAAATAAATAAGTCAAATATGAAGACATTAGAGGACATGCAGAAAATAAGGCGGCTTTCTTACTAGCCAATCAGTATATATAGATTGGTGCAAGACTGACAGATTTGGATGTTTACTTTGATTTTTTCCTACTGGTCTCCTGAGGGTCATTGGAAATTTATGTTATTTCCCTGTGCTTCTGTTTCCCCAAGTGACAATGAAAAGAATGGTTCATACTCCTGTGCATTCTTCTGTGGATACAAAATACATCAGAACAAGTTATTAATAGCTTATTTTCAGTGAATAAATGGACCAAATTCAATAAATATAGTAACAACCTGATTTCTCATCCAACATGAAAACATTATGTGTGAGATAGTACACTGCAGACATTGTTGATGTAAACACCAGCCTCTCCAAAAGATGTAGCAAATAAATTGTTTACTAAAAGATAAAGAAACTACCATTCCTCATTCATATACTGTAAAGTTGGTAGCAATATATTCTCATTTAAGCCTTCCAAATGCTTTCAGGTTGTTTTTTTCTTGTCAGGTTGGGCACAATAAATCTGAATTAGAAGCCTAGCCTTGCTTCAGTCAAAATTAGCCTGGTTTCAAAAACATTTCTTCCTCCTTTTCTAGATGGTGACAAGGCTGATATTTCTGCCAGTATTTATCCAGACATAAATATCATTGCTGGAGCACTGAAGCTATACTTCAGAGACTTACCGATTCCCGTGATCACCTACGACACCTATTCCAAGTTCATAGAGGCAGCAAGTAAGTATTGCATAGTAATTTGTACTGATCTTTAATTACATTTCCCATCCATAAAGCTGTCCACATTAAAGAAATATAAGACAGACAACAAATTGGAAGCAAGGGCATTGTTCTGTTCATTACTTCTCTGCCACGTCCTTCTTTCATGTGAAACTTCTGCTTGAATGTTACTGCAGATGGGACATCATGCAGGTACGCCATCCCAGGGCTGGCATCATGGCTGCAGATACATGCAAGACTGGGTGATCTGTGATGGGTCAGGGATGAGTGAGCAGTGTGAACCTTGAGGATGCTTCTCATTCCCCCACCATTTTCCCCATCTCCTATATCATGGCCTCCTTTGGCAACAAATCTGTGCTGCTGACAAGCATGTCTCCTCCTTCAGTCAGTGAGGGATCAGAGCAACAAGGCACACCACAAACCACACCTGCCCCACAGTTCAGGCACATCCACTGTTCATTAGATCCTACAGTATCTAACCTGTGTTCAGATGGGAGGCATGTGCAGTTATCTCTGCCCAGAGTTGGCAGGTCATGGATGCACTACCAGAGAGGGAGGAGGACAGCTGCATTCATTGCTGTAACGCTGGCAGAGAGAGCTGAGACTTGCCTCAAATTCTGCTCTCCAGGGCACAGCCTTCCACGTAATGATAGTTACTCATGAAAACTCACCAGGTGGATTGCATCAAAATCAGATTATTAGTAAAAAACGTCAAAGACCTGAGGTGTCTAAGAAGTAGCATGCTTTCTTCCTTAAAAATATCCTTAGTCATTTTGAAATGTCACCCAGTATACGGATAAGTAGCAGGAAGGGTGGTCTGTTTGTGTGACTGTGCTGCCTTCCCTTCCCCTCTGGCTTACCCACCCTTGCACTCCCCATACAACCACAGATACCTCTGTCCTGTGCTCTCTTCTTCCTCCCTGGCAGAGCAATTATTCTTGTTCATCAGTAGTCCTATGAAGAACACATCCAGAGAAAGCAGTTCCTATCACGTCAATAGACCAATGTCTTAAAAGCAGGGCATAAAGATTCTTAATCTGCTAAAATTTCAAGCTCCTGGTGCCATTTGTATGGAAAGTCATGCAACAAATATAACTGACTCAGTTCACAGCTTAGGAATCCATACTTTTCATGTAAAAGACATGTAAAACCTGCTCAGATTTTCAGAGACTGCCAAATGAGCACTGATGCTCTCTGATCACTGATACCCACATATTTAAAGATGTTCAGAAATCTTTGTTCATGTAATTCCATGTCATTTCAATCTCTAGCTAAACTTACATATTCAAGCACGGTCTCTAAAGCATATATCCACACTCCCATCTGGTGTTGAAGGCTAATGGAAGTAATCTTATGTAAGATTTAAAGAGTCAGTTCCAGGCAGAGTATTATGAAACACTTAATGAAGCTCGGATACTGTACCTATACAGGCCTGTAGATAGAGCTACAGACCACAGAGATAACTATTGGGTGGTCTTTGTTGCTGATTTCTTTGTAAAGCCTGTATTTTTGACGATACAGAAGTTGCTGATAAGCTCCATGTTTATGAGTTTAATATTTATCCCTCCAAGCGCAGTCAGTGGCTTGTAAATGACTCCGTAATAATAACTTAGCTTCCTGAATTATTGGTGTTTACAAATGGAAAGCCCTATTAACATTAATCCTGTTTGGTGTTTTCACAGAAATCTCCAATCCTGATGAACGACTAGAAGCAATACATGAAGTGTTGATGTTACTCCCTGCTGCTCATTACGAGACACTTAGATACCTAATGATTCATCTCAAAAAGTGAGTTAATCAGCATGTAGGATAATTCTTGAAGAGCTTAACCATTTTCTGCTTTGAAAGAGCGATATTACTGAAAGTACCAATAAAGCTTCCACTAGAGCACTGCCAGTAAAACAATAATGTTACAAATAAACAGGCAAGCTATGTTTGTGTAAATGCATATAAGCCATGCACATATATAGCACAGATCCTTTTGCTGGCAGATCATTGCAAGCCTTTGAAGAGTTAATTGAGATTTGCCACGTTTCTCTGAGGCAGATAATATCTGAAAAATACCAGAATGGTAGGTACTTCAGAGATGTGCTGCAGCAAGTCACTTGATCATGCTTTGCTTCTGCCTCTCCTTACCTCCTGATTTGTCTTCCTGAACGATAACCCTAAAAGGAAAGAGCTGTCTCTTACAAGTTGTTTGCTCACATCACAGTTAAGCCAAGAATCAAGCAAGGCCTATTTTTATATGACTAGTAAAAGCAATACAGGCCCTTACCAGTTATTTCCTAGCTCTTTTGGTTTTAAACACACTCTGCCTCATTTGCTTTCCAAAGCTTCTTTAATCATAAGACATACAAAATTTTCGAAAGTGCCTAGATTTCATTTTTGATCTCTTCTTAGTTGTCCCACTACTTGCAGCACAGTTGCAAATTTGGAGTATTTTCCGGGTTTGATCTGCACTATTCTGCAATATTAATGCCCACATGAAAAGGAAAAGACCTCAACTCACGTAAAATTGAATCAGAGAGCTTGTGTGAAGTGCATTTCATGCTCAATCAACTTCTCATTATGCAGAGACTTTTCCTCATTTTGAATCGGCTCAGGCCATTACAACTGAGCAATTTTACCTTTCGATGAGACATTACCTGGGCATGCAGGAGCTTCTTCAGACTGTGCAGAAATCAGATGTGCAAACACCCACCATCGTCAGCACATATGCATGGACAACTCAGGATGAACCATGTTGGCTTTTAAGAAGGCCCGTAGAGGCTGTAGGCAAGCAACCTGTATACAGGATCAGCACTTTCGTGTTCCGGCAGCAAATTTTTAATAGCCAAGTATTGACTTGCTTTCCTTCTTTTTTATGAACTGCACAGTACAGGCTTTGGTTCAGCTGTTGAGCCGAACTACTGATGAGACAAAATATAGTCCAAACAGCTGATTAAGCTTTCTCTCTCAAATACCTGCAAGTCACACAATGAATTCCCTCTCCTTTCCCAAATCGCAGCTTTCAACGTCTGCATGGAAATCAAGTGCATATCAATTCCTATGGAGAATCTATCAGAGAGATCTGAATCCAAAAGAGGGAAGGATCCTTTAGGTTCAGACTATCCTGTTCTGTAAATTAAACATAGAGTCCCAACTCCAGCCCTGGTGTCAGGGAGTCTGTGTATGGACTGCAGGATCACTGCGGGATCACAGCCTCTACACCAACACCGTTTCTCCACAGAAAAGCAACTGCACTCAGTTGCTGTTTAAAGCATTCATATTTCTTTATCAAATGGAAGGGACACTAAATTGAGCTAAATCAAAGTTGAGTAAGTTTTGCATTGTTTTTGAAAAATTAGAGGTACCTTCCCTGAATCTGTTTATTGTCTTAATATTGTCTTTCTTCCTCCTCCATTGAAAGAATAACCTAGTCTAGTCAGGAAGATCCAGCAGAGAAAAGTATCAGCAATGAAAAATGAGCTTGTCAGTCAATTAATTAATTGTTTTCTTCAGTCAAATGGAACATTCTGAGAACTTTTTGCTCAAAATTGGAGGAAATACAGTAGCATGAGCAGTCCCCCCTGTGGCGAAATACATACAACTCCATCCATGCTGATGTTGCAGTGAAGCTGCGCTGCTGAATCTTCTCTGTGTTCAACCCAGGCCGTGCAACCCACTCTTCCACACAGAGGTGCTAGTGAGATGTATGTGGTATCCCACAGCTGTTCCACATCTCTGCTGCATACAGCCACAGGTGGAAAACAGAGTGTTACATATACACTTCCACAGAGGTGTCTTGGGCTAGGCAGCCTTGGTTTATCTTTTCTCCTTGCAAAGCACAGTTAACATACCTGTGCTAGAAGATGACAATGTGTCTGTGAGTAGAGGCACTAATGGACTTCTGTCCTGAAAGCAAAGAGCAACAGTGTTTTTCTGTGATAGAGCCACTCTTTGCAGTGAGCCAACAGTAGAAGAAAAATCTTATATATAAGGACCTTACAAACAAGGGGAAGACCAGATTACCTTTGGTTTCAGGCTCTGTGCTCCCCTGATGGCATGAGTGAATCCACTGCTGCCCAGCTGGGAATTGCCATGGCCAGGGGTGATCTCAGCTGTTGCCAGGAGAGCTGGTTCCAAAACCAGATATGCTCCACGCTGGTAGAGGTGTTGTGTATGGAGGAGATGTGAAACTTCACCTGTACTCTGTTTAGTAACTGCAAGTATCTGGTCCATGAGGGACTGTGACCGATTAAGGGACCACAGCTGTCTCTATACTGCAGTGCGAGAGCACCCTTGAGACCAAATTCAAATTCCAAAGGCTTGCTGGGACAACACGGATGTGATCCAGCTCTGTTACCTGGAGGGAAACCCTGAGCACATCTTGCATTTCCCAGCAGGCCTAAGGGGTAACTTCTCTGTGTCTTTGGCAGCCAGGTTTGCTTGAGCCACACGTAGCCTACCTTTTTTTTGTATTTACATTATATGATGTGCATCAGGGAACAAAACAGCCTGCGGTCCTTCCTAGAAGTGCCTCTATTCTCTGTCAAGGATAGATGGGATTTGTAGCAGTCTGACTTTAGCAAACCACCTCTCTGGACTGCTCCAGGATTCAGCACACTGCTAAAGTATAATGAGTAATCAGAGTCACTCAGCTGTCGGTTGGCCCGAGGCAGCCAGTAAGGCAGAAACGCGTGAACGTGTGGGTCCCTGCAAGCTGGAAGCACGGCGGTCACCAGTAATCAACAGAAAATCTGGGTTCCTATTCGAGAAGCACGTCCACACCTCCAGTCTGATGCACACCAAATACAACATGCCAGAGAACTGTAGCTACTGTAGAGCAGCTACATACATCATCATTTAAATCATGATGATGCTTTTCAGAAAAGCAATTGCCACTAATTCTTACACTCTAACGAATAGCTACATGGAAAAATCACTTAAGAGTCGCATGAAGGGTGTTTAAGGGCACTGGAAATCACAGCCTTACTGTAGTTGCCTTGTACTTGCTGTCGAAACAGTTACTATTTTGAGTAAAAGTAAAAAATGTTACTGAAAAATGTCATTATCTACCAATGCTTGATGTGAAGCAGGACTACAGATTAAGATGTATGTATTCTTTTCTTCTGGGAAGTAAACAACTACTTAGTTTTTTTTTTTCCATTCGTTTTTTTTTCCTATTTTAGGGTTACCTTGCATGAAAAGGAGAATTTTATGAATGCTGAAAACCTGGGAATCGTGTTTGGGCCTACTTTAATGAGACCTCCAGAGGACAGTACCCTTGCTACACTGAATGACATGCGGTACCAGAAGTTAATTGTGCAGATTTTAATAGAAAATGAAGATGTTCTCTTTTAGACAGAGAGAGACATATCTTCAAAGCTATTTGTTTTAAAATAATTAGTTTGAACGAAAAACAACATTTCTTTAAATTTTTTTAAACATAAAGGAAAAGTTCCTTGACTGCACTTCAATTTCTGCAAAGTTGCAGATGAATGCCAAAATGTTTAGGGAAAGCCTATGTCTCATAGACATATGCCTCTTTGTAGAAGGGAAAAAAAGGTCAGAAAAAATCCTCTTACCTTGTATCTTTTGCCTTGCCTCAGATGTATATTTGTTTTGAGAAGTTGCAAACAATTTTATTGTTAACTTATTAAGAAACACAAAACATATTTTAATATGGCTAGAGAAGCAAAAAGGTACTTAATCAGTGTTACTTGTATGCGCCTATACTTTTCCCTCTCCATGAGACATAATTATATATGTCAATTGTGAAACAGAACCTATATTATAAAGATATTTTTACTTTACCTAGCTGAAAGAATGCCATTTTATTTTAGCAAACTATAAATCAATGCGGTGCATTGATTATTTTCCACGTAATTCTTTCCTGCATTTTTGCTATGATATATTGAAAACAATTACCACTAATGCAGTATTATCCTGACATACCTCTTTATTGCAAGTGTTTAAAGTCTTTTCTTTTATGTATTCCAGCTTTCCTTAGGTTTCTTTGCATTTAGGGACTAGGACTAGCATCCTAAGACTGTACACTTTTAGCCATTTGATACTTCCCACAACATACAGTATTTGCTCTTCTTTTTTTTTTTTTTTTTTTACTCCCATGTAAAATATGGTGTTGAGAATTTTTCAAAAGTCCTGGTGGTAGATCAGTTTCATATGCCAGATCTTTCTTGGATTACAGTAACATGTAACTTAAGTGATGCTGGGACACTGGATATTTTCTGGCCTTGTTGAAAAGTTAGCACTTTTTTGGGTTAATTATGAAGGATTTGGTTTTTCTGTAAAAATCGAGTTATGTTTTGTCATGTTTCTGTATTTATAAACGTACAGTAAATCTGCTAAAAATGTAGGTATTTATCTTGAATGTGTTTTCTGATGGTTTGTTTAAAAAAAAAAGAAAGAATGTGTAGGAAATGTGGGAGTTGGTAAATTTAATTATTACCAAATTCTAATATTTTTCTCCCCTCACAAACATTGACCTACAGAGTTCATAGTCTAACTGCAACTTATTCCTAATGTTAAAACTTTTTCTCAGCATGAGATGTTTCTGCAAGCATAGAAAAATCAACATACTTTACTACCAAACTCAATTTTCAATACAAAAAAAAAATAATAATCCCTCATCTTGATTGTTTATATCATATGCTTGGTAACTCAGTGATGCAGTTTCCTGAATTATTTCAGGGAGCACATGTTTCTATTCAAATTGAAAAATATGTGTAACTATGATTATGAAGGGAGTTGGAGGGTATGACTGTAAATTTGTTGTCTTCTAGAGAAATAACTAAGGGCTAGATAGATTAACCCAGATTGCAGAGCAAATGCTAAATAGTCTGAGTTCCCAATACTTCCATAGATCCTCCTGCCTTGTACAGGACTATTTGTTGTAGGTTATGTACTACTTAATACTGTCATAAAAATGATCTGGAAATGGTTTTATTTTGTGAAGTGAAATATGCTTTGTAATTTATGATAGTGTAAATGGAAGGAAAAATCCCATTAAATGTGTTAAAGAGTTCTGGTGTCTGTCACTCTGACCACATGGCAAGCTGCCAGATGAAAATCAATCGCCGATTACCGTCCTGACATTGCTGGAAACTTTCCTACTTGGAAAACTTAGAACAGTTTTACTGAATGTCAGCAGTTTCAGATTGGCACTTGGATGCCCATACTACCACAGCCAAGCCCATGCACAGATGTATTTTCTGCAACCACCCTGAACTACCTCTGTGTAAAACTTCAAGCAAGTAAAGAATCACAATATCAATCCAATCAATTTGCAAGAATCAATGCCATCAGAGCACTTTTCCGCTCCCTTGAAGTCAGTCATTTGACTAACAATGATTTTCTTTATTTTTTCTGGTCAGCTCAGTAATGAGTTATTTTTTTAAGCTAAGAATAGTATTTTAGCACCATAGTTTAGTTTTGCAGGAAGACAAACAAACCAATCTACTTCTGCTTCTCCCTTTCCCTGTACCATGAGCTAACTGGTAGCTTTGACATGTTTCATAGTCTGGGGTCTTCAATACATGCCCCATCCTGAGGATTCAATGGCAGTACAAAGCAGCATGTTTAGAAATACCCATGCATAGCATCTTTGGAGGGCAGAAGTCTCTAATCTGTTGGACGGAGGGAGGACTATGATTCTGCATCTTAAAACACAAGTATCTAATGAATTGTCCACGTTTGTCTTGGCTAACCGATGGCCAGCATCCTCAGGGGCGTACTGAATGTGAAGTTAAAAGGACCCCGTCCCCTCCATGCTTCACTAGTGCTGCACACACTTCATCTCTTACATCAGACGGACTGTGGCCATCACCACTGCACCTGGGGCTGAGCAGCACCTCTGAGATCCCTTCATCTCTGCTCCAGATTCACTATTTGAGAAAAGAAAAAGGCAGCAGACTTTTCTCTGCAAAACTGACTGCTAGAGAAGAAAAAGCATACTTATCCTTAAGGGAAGCCTGTATTCCAGTATACAGAAAAAAATGGGTCTGACTGGATTACACCAACTCCTTCCCTTTGCTTCAAGGCATTCAGCGAGAGTGTGACGGCTTACCCCTCACAAGGCACTACTAGAGAGTAGTAAGAGTCATTTGAAAGATGCTCCAGGAGTCTGTGTTTGAGCTGACGTAAATTCCCTGCTAGCTCATTTCATCTCGAGTGGAATGCAGCTCTGCTTCTCTGGAAGCAGGTGAGATACCTGTGCCTGACTGCATTGGAGCCTCTCTGCAGCTGGATGTTCGGCAGGAACCTCATTCCCCTCCAGCTACTGGAGATGCCTTTAGTGGTGCACTGCGGGTGCAGCCGCAGTCCCCTCCTGCCAGCATCCACCCGCGCTTCCCGTCTGCCATTCGGATAGCCCCATCTTCTGGTATGACGGGCGCAACTGGGCACCCCTCACAGCCGGTCCTCGGAGCTGCCGGGGTGAGATGACGTGCCTCCCATAAAGCAGCAGTGTTTTAGCCACCATTAGTAAAACATTCTGTGAAGTTAGTGGTTTGTAAGGTAGTTAACTTTCCAAAGTGCTGTGCAACTGCTGAAATTTCATCTTTATACCTCTGTCTTCGCGAGACTCGTTGCCGTCAGGTTTAAATATTTCGGGCCTGCTGGGGCAACGGAACCAAGGAATTGTTTCCTGAGAACACCACGCTGGAGACAAGGCAGCGTGCGCTGTGTCTGGCTCCACAGCACACGTCTGCTGAAAAGGCAGCTGGCAGGCATGATCGAACAGGGAACTGCTGAAGGGTTTCCTCAGCTGAGACACCGATTTGGGGCTCCTCTACCCAGAGACCACTTGTGAAACTTGATTATCTCTGTCCCGCTGTCAAATACCATTGGAATTGGACAAGGGATGCAGGAGTTACTGGGGAAGGAGAATAATTTGCAAAAACAGAAGCACACAAAGAGCGTTAAGAGCAGGTATTTTGTTTCCTCGGAAAACCTTTTTAAAACGAAGCTACAAAGGAGACGGAGCTTTGCTCTCAACTCACAGCTCTGCGAGCTGAGGTCAGTTTAAGCTACAGAACGGGTCTAACAGAGCACAAAACTAGGTGGGTTGGTACCACATTCATTTTATTTCTAAGCAAGAGGTAAGACTACGCTTTCCTATACACTCGACAGCATCAAAGCTCACACAACATGAGAGCTTAGCGAAGGAGACAGAGCTGCAGAGGCACTTGGCCTGAGACTCTGGGAAGGAACATAGCAGGTTTGGGATCCCTTCTGAAGCAAGGGGCTTGAAAGACCTGAGCTGTGTGTTACTGTCAAATTTAGGATATAGGAGGGAGGAGGGATCGTGGGTGTAGTATTGGGCAAAACTCTGGTCTTAGTAAGGTCTCGGAGAGGCAGCGGGAGTGTCTGTGGTAATAGCTGGGCTGAAGGAAGGCTTAAAGTCACATTGCAAGGAGGTGAAAGTGACAGTAGGTACTGTGAGCGGTTTGCAGAGCACGTGGAGCAATTGTCTTCTCTTTTATGGCAAGCTCAAACACGGCACAGTGCAGACTCCTACAAATGAGACATTGCGAGATAATCGATTGACTGTCTTTGCACAAGGCCCTGCCTGGACTCACATGTTTGGAGGGAGAGCGTTTTCCTAACCCAGCTAGGCTCCTGCTTTCTCCTTCTCCCTCCTACCCGGAGATGAAGGCAGCTGACAGCCTCTTCTGCTGTACCTTCAGCTGCCTCCAGTATCACGCTCCCCCATGCAGAGCACAGACAGGGCAAAGGCAGCCTGCTCCCCTCATCCTGCTAATGGCTGGGTAGGTGCTGCCCTGCTATCTGAGAAGAGAGGCTGGAGAGAGCAGAAAAGGAGATGGGGGTGGGAGGAAGGCTCACAGAAGGTTCCACAAGCGGATGCTTCTCCAGCTGTTCAAGCTCCCCAAAGTGGCAGCAGCTGGAGAGGCTACAATGTTTTCCCTCAGTGCTGCACTCTCCCCAAACCTTGCTCAAGGGGCACAAGCCACAGGAGCCTGTCTGGCCACCTTCTTATTTCATTATTGACAAGTAGAGAGTCAAGGTCAGCAGAAAAGGGAGGGAGGAGATTCGAGTGCCAGCAGACCTCCCTGCCAATAACCAGGAACTGATGAAAACTCTTGAGTAGGAAGGTAATTCAAAACACTTACACAAGGAGAAGAATGCCATCTAACTGGATCTTCAAAGCAGAATTATATTGCTATATCGCCTACAGCCATTTAAAGTGAATGAAGAGACTATAGGGCTCATGAAGGTAAGAGTGTGAGCATCAATACGTTTTATGTTCTTGAGCTGTAGAGATAAATTCCTTGATTAAAGATCATAGTTAAGATTCAGCAATCTGAACCTTAGGGAGCTATGATTATTGTTGAATGCCCTAGGGCTTGCAGATTTAGGACATCAATAGGTCTTACATGGGGGCCATACTTCACATTATCTTTCTCTGAAGGCATGGCATTCTGGATATAATTATGCTGATATTACAGCTAGAGCCAGGACTGGGAATTCAAAGCCTGAAGGACCCAGATTATTGCAGGATGTTTAAGGACTGCAGTTGGGAAGAAAGTTTGTGCCAGTTGGAGCCAGTGCTTTATAAGTTAAAATGGAAATGAGCAGCGAGTTGCAAGTAGAGAAACTGTCAGGGTTCAGTTTGCAGTAGACTCGGGGATGTCAGGAACCAAGCTGACCACCGGAAGCTGCCTTCATTGCAGGGCTCTGCAGAGCCTGACAAGGTGGGGCTCACAGTATTCTCTCTTTTCTCAAAAGTATGAGCCATTTGTTACTACTAAGATGAAGGTTAGAGTGAGATATAGGGTTAGCTTTGGGGTTTGTGACAGTAGATCTTGAAGAATATAAATTGCTGCTGGCAATATTTGAAGATAACTTCATTTTCTGCTCTACTATAGGGCAGGTATGCGTATGACCAACATGCATGAAGATTTACATCATTTACCACATGGTGCTGCCCAAGAACATCAGGAGATTGGAGTCCATAGGTATTCATAACAAGGTAACAGGGTTAGGTTAGGAATCCAAATATTGAGGAGCTGGTATTGTTACT